ACGAAACATACTGCTTCCACTTCCACTTCCACTTCCGGTACCAAACACGCTGCTTCCACTTCCACTGCTGGTCCCAAACAAGCTGCTTCCACTTCCACTGCTGGTACCAAACAAGCTACTTCCACTTCCAGTACCAAACATATTACTACTGGAATATCCTATACATAGGTACGCAAAGTGAAACTCAGAATGGAAAAGAGTAATTCTCATGAATGTTACCCATATTGCCTCCACCAAAATAGCCACCACTGCTGAAACCTATAATCAGGAAGATATTTTAACAATATCGAGTAAAAAAAGATCTCAGTATCCGTTGTTCATTTACCTGATCCAAGCGAACTGATTACACCTAAAACAACAAAAGTTAAATTTTAAAGATATTCTCTTGACGAGAATTATCCGTGGTGTATTGTATGTAAATATATATATTATGTAGAAAATGTGTGCTGTGTCAAAAACTCGATATTTTTCCTAGCATTATTTCTAGTTTTACAACATTACCTATGATTGGAACCAATAGCAAATATATAACAGTATACATTGTATGTTATATTGTTTAAGAACTAGAATTGAATGCCGACACTCGTAAAATTTTGTTGCAACTGGCGAGAATGAGAAATAGACGAAGAATGTTATAACTTATATAGCAAAAAATGTTATCATTGTTGTTTTTCATTTGTATTACGGTGTCAGATGACGTTTAATCGCTATTTACAAATAGGAAGTCGATTATTGATTTCGAAAGATCGTTTAGATACAAATGAAATTGGATAGTAACATTTGTTTTTTTCTGTTTCGTTGTAGTTTTGATTACAGAAAGTAACTCTCTCTCTCAACTGGGGAATTTTCCAACGCTCCTTTAAAGCCACCTCCTGCCGTTAGGAAATCCGTTTTTTCGGGAGATATCGAAATTGATTTTGTTCTCAAAAGTTATTCAAAAAGTACTCACGAGCATTCATGATACCATACCACCCGATGCGAACAAAACAGATCTTATCGAAATTTTACAATTATAATATTAGTTGAATATTATTGAAATAGCATAGAGAAATAGAGCATCGTTTTCTCTATTATTCCATACAATGAGAAAACCTCTTCGAGCTTTCTATAAGGAAATAAGGTGATGGCGTCATTATTTTTGGTACACCCTAAATAACCCTCTCGCATTTTTATGCTTTTTTCAAAACATGGATTTCAATCAGGAAAATTGAAATAGCTTCTGCCAGATTCGAGCTATATCCAATACTTTTTTTGTTTTAAGGGTCTCAATGAGAGTAAACTTTTGTCGTACCAGTTTTTTTAAGTCGATTCCTGGGATGGGAAAAGTGAGATTTAATGTCGTTGGATTACTGTTTTTTTTTCTGATTTGAAGAGCGTACCACTAAAATGCTCATAAAAAAGTCAATGAGATTGAATTTAAAATTTCTGTTCAGACAAAAGTTGCATACTGGCATTGGCTTTAATTTGAAACCAGCTCCAGCTCGATACCTCCTGTTAGGATGGAGTTATGCCGATTCTCCTGAAGGCCAAAAATGACCTATGAATCAGCTGAAAATTCGGTCTAGTATGACCAACCGAGCTGAAATTTTTACCAAAAACGTATCTCTCGAGTAGTACTCATCCTGAAAATTTCAGCTAAAAGAGACTGTTCTAAGTGGGACATCGTTTCTAACGGAGGACCTTAATTAATGATGATCTTTCGAATGAGTTGAGATGATGTTTGATGATAAGATTGACCCATTGACGCCTTCAATACTATTCATCCCATAAAATCGTTGAACATTACTTCACCAGAAACTATTTCATTGTTACTAAGCTTTTCGAAACCGTTTAGATGTGTTTACTACCTGATAATTCCTTTAGCCCGGATGAGATCTCGATCATGATAGCTTGTCTCACTCTCATCCTCAAAGGTGAAACACATTCGTATTGTAATAATTTCTGTTGTCTCAAGAGTTTCAGAAGTTTATAAAAATTAAATTCAACAGTTTATGACAGAATGTCAGTAACGAATGAAAATATTACTATGGGGACCAAATGAGTTTCCCCCCCTTGTATTTTTTTCTTTTTATTACTATATGTCCTTTATTTTTCAACTTATCATATATAGCAAGAAAGCTTAGAATGAGCTGCATCTTTTGGTATATTTGAATTGAAAAATCAAATGAAGTTTAAAGGGTTAATAATGTATTAGAAAAAAACAGTGATAATTTTTTTTTCAAATATATATATACAGAGTGGCCCAAAAATCACGCACCCCGAGAAAAAAATCGAATATCTCTGTTACGGCTCGAGCAAATGGGCTGATTTTTTTATCACTAATAGAGATATGCTCAAGCGTTAAATTCGCAAAGACATGTCCAGAGAGACCTTTTGTTAAGTATATTCTTTCTTTTTGCTACCTGTGAAAAAGCAAAAATTTTTTTGTTGAGGTCAATAGTGATACTTAAACAAAAGGTCTCTCTAGGCATGTCTTTATGGATATAAACCTTGAATATGCTTCTATCAATGATAAAAAAATCAGCTCGTTTGATGGAGCCCTCTTGGAGATATTTAATTTTTTTCTGAGTGCGTGACTTTTGCACCATCCTGTATATTGGTTTTTTCTTATCTGCGAAAAAAATAAGATTTTCTTGTTGAGATCAATGACGATACTTAATAGAGGGTCTCTCTAGCCTTGACTTTACAAATTTATGTGAAGCTCGTGTACAAGTAAACCATTCTTCAAATATTATTACAAAAAATGAATATTTTCTTTTAAATTTAGGTATGGTTTAAAAATCGACGAGCTAAATATCGAAAAAAACAAAAAGTACTTGTTGATGCATCAAAAAAAATGAACAACAGTTGTGACAAGTGATGACAAGGATGACGATGATTCAAACTCAAAAGATGACACAATAATGGTCACTTCCAAAAGTACAGGTAGTTCTAATATGTTTTAGAACGTTTCTTTTATAATTTCTTTTTTTTTATTATCTAGACGAAACAACAGTCCAAGTATCATCTAATTTAATATGTCATTCATTCTCATCACTTATTCGAATGTCCTCCTATAATGAACAACAGTTTAAAACAGATTCATCAATGTACAATTTTTCTACGAATAATGAACAAGCAAAATAGCGTCCGAATACATTAAAATATCATATTAAAAGTTTATTACAGTGACTTCCATGTTGAGTTATAAAGAATAATTGTCTTTCATAAAAATAATTTTGACATAATAATTATCAAATAATACACGAGAATATATAAAGCAGAAAGGAAATCAAACAATGTATTAACAACTTGGATATCGTCCCATTCACAAGAAAAACAATTCTTTATATAAATTAATACTTTTTATTTTATTGTTGAGATTGATCTAGATAAATCTAAAACAAAATATTCATGTAAATATATATACTTCCTATTCACCTCGATGTTGAGATTGAGATTGATCTAGATAAAAGAAAAGAAAATTATTTATGTAAACTAATACTTTTGGTTTTGATGTTGGAATTCAATCAAGATAAAAGGAAAAAAATCATTTTTATTGGTACATACTTATTGTTGAATAGGAGTAGTACCTTATCTTTATTTTACTTTAAAAAGTTAAGTTAACTAACTTTACTTTATCCGGTAAATTAAAGACACAATATCATTCTCATCACTGAAAATTGTAGTAAAATCGCCGATTAATCGCATGTATCCAAATAATCATCAATTAATCGCGATTTGTTGAAATCTTCTAAAAATCGCTGACGAATCACGATTGATTGAAGATCTTTTCAACAAAATCGGAATTAATCATTAGTT